ATCCAGTTAGTCACAGTCAGAGAAACAGGACTACACTGAAAAACAGGCTGATCTCCAACATCTAATTTTAAATACATTAAAAAGTACAAAAAAAAACAAGGATACTTCATAATTATTAACATCTACAGAAAAGCATTCTTGGAGTATTAGATGGAGAAACGATAAATAATGAATAAAACTGCTGCCTGGGATCCTTGGATGATTGAATCTCTCCTGCTACTGCGGATCGGTCTTTGCAGTGACTTTGTTTTTTAGTGTACAGAAACTTTTTTTTTTTTTTTTAGCCAGAAAAAGGCCTGAAGGCAAATATCTCCAGACAGTCACGCTTTTCTGATGCCTCGTCTTGATGGCAGCGTGACGTGTTTGTAACAGTAGATGCTCCTACGTGGAGGAACTGCTTGATTGAAACTCAGGCAATAATTCCCTTTCTTGGGAATTGCATTAAACACCTTTTTCTACCTTTTTTTTTTTTTTTTTTTTAGCTTGATTTCTATGAAACTTTTGAAATCAAATTTACCCTTCAGTGCTTCCATTATAAATAAAACAGATCTTTAATGTCCGAATCTAGTATTTTTACTCAGACTACAGGAGACTAAGCTTATTTTTTACTAAAGGCGTCACTGGCACTTCATTTTTGAAGAGATTAAAAATAACAATGTAGAGCGTGTTTGGATAATTTATCCAAGCTAGTACCTTTCTAAAGTTTTATTTTACAACAATGAGCTTGAAGAAGAGATCGTTTTGACGAGTACATGTTGGCCGGAAAGGTGACGAGAAGAATGTGGCTGAAACTAAAAAAATGAGAAGTTTTCTTGTCTCCCGGTGGCTAAAAAACCTGTATAAATTTGGGATCAATTCGCTTTTAACGGCAGTGTGAACAGCTCACTGACACGTGTCTAGCTGAGTCAAATGAGTCGGCAAGCGACCTGCGTTAAAATTAGTGTTGCACCGATACCGATACCAGTATCGGACGGGGCCCCGATACTGCCCTAAAATGGTGGTATTGGTATCGGCGAGTACCAACAAATAGGGCACTGATACCATTTTGAGAGCCATAAGTTTATTCAACTATTGTCACCCACTCCTGTTAATAAAAAGTTCTACTGGATTCACTTTGTATTAGATTTGTTCCTGCTTCACAAAGGTAGGCAGCAGCTTGACAAAGCCATGATGGAAATTATTTTACATTATTATGGTATCGGTATCGGCCGATACTGCACAGCCAGGTATCAGGTATCGGTATCGGGGCCAAAAAATGGCATCGGCACAACACTAGTTAAAATCGCCTCTGCTCTGATAGGCATGATGTGGAAACCGAGCGGATTTACCATTAGTCAATACTGGGCAGTTACCTAGGGCCCCAGGTTCCTAACCTGACTCTGCCACATGGATTTGCTCCGCATATCCATCTGGAAACTTTCCGTTGAAGTAATTTTGGGAAGGGGCGAAAATACTGGTTAGCTGATTGGCCTATGTTGGTGATAGACGGGCCAAATAAACCAATCAGATCAAC